TTGAAAAACACAGACAGAGTTCACTAAAGTCACCACGTTACAAACACAACTCATCATTCTCAGTTAAAGGAACAGTACGTAGTAAAGTACCGTTAGTGATATTAAAGCTGTTTTATTTAAAGTGTGTTCTCTGCATCCTCACCTGGAAAGTGGAGCAGCAGCATCAGGAATGAAGACATCATGATCCTTCTGAATTTAGACATCGTGCTTCTCTCTCGGTCTCTGGCTCTAGACTGTCAGAGTCTCTGACCTGCTGCTTCTTTATTTCTCTTCTGAGAACTGAAGGAGAAGTGTTTCTGTGAGGATGTGGTTAACAGCAGCAGAGCTCTGGAGGTGTTACCCTCTGATGCTGACCAGATAAGGTACGTGCTTAAAGCAAAACCGCGCAGAGAATGTATATTTTTTTATCAGCAAACAGACATGCTAATGGTGTTTGAATGCACACACAGTGGTCTGAGACCTGGTGGTTTTTCTTGCACCTCTGAGAACCAAGATGGAGGTGTTGTTGTGGCTGTGGTAGCAGCAGCAGCAGAGCTCTGCAGGTCTAAACCACTGATGTTGACCAGATACAAAACAGAGACATGAGTAATGGAAACAGTAACTATTGACTAAATGAACTCTAATGAAGTATAATTAATTTCATATGATTACTTTTTACTTTTTTTGTACAATTTTCAAATCAGACTTTTTTTAAATTGGATGAAAAACCATAATATGACATTTTTCGACATACGAAATAATAACACTATACCGTATACTTTATAATTTATCGATATACTTTCTCCGACATATTATACTTTTACTTTTTTCAAATGTTTGACATACTGTATAATGATTTTTTTTTCAAAATATTTTCCAATATTGTTTACTATCCCTTTTTTTGACATACTATTACTTTTTAGAAATATTATCAACACAACATTTTTTGCATATTATTTTATCACTTTACAGCCCGGCTAATAGGCTGCAACAAGGATGGGTGACAAGACAAGTTTAAGTGTAACAAAAGGACTGATTTATTTACAATATAACAAAACCAAAGGACTGAACAAACCTAAACAAACGTGGAAGTCATTTATCAGTAATGTGTGTGTGGGTGTGTCAACATATGCAACAGAAGAGTGAGAGATCACATTATGGGATGTTGTTGGCCTTGGAGGGGGTTGTAACACTTGTTTTATAACATTTAAAATGGCATAAACATTACATTTTGAGTATGTCAGTTTGTCTTTAGGTGTGGGAGATGATGGAGAAGGAGAAGAGTGAAAACCTCTGCTCTAGATTTATAGAACATTTGTTTAAAAATGATTTAATATTCTGTGAGGGAATAACAGGAGGGAAACACACGGTGTGAATCTCCCTGTTGACCTGTTTCTATGAATTACTAAGGAATTTATTTCACCGGGCCTTCGTGGTGTTTGATTTACGTTTAGAAAATGTCCGACTCCTCAAATCTGTCACCAGCGCAGGGAGGAGGTAACTGTTGAATGTTTTATACATAGTTTTATATGTAGTAACAAACACACATAACACTACATAACCTTATCTATAATATGAAGTTTAAGGGATGTTTCTTGTTGTTTATCCATCTACATTGATCATTTGTTTGTTGAGAAATCTACTACTAATGTTCAAACCTCAAACCTTTTCTGTAGATATACACGGCATCTCAGCATCTTCATCATCTCCATCTTAATTTAGTGGGAATGCTGATACAGCATTCCAACTATATGTTATGCTACGGACGAAAAGTTTATTATTCCGTCCAATTATTTTGTCCGTCTTCTCCTCCCACATTCAACATCGCAGAAACTCCGTTCAAACATCAAAACGTTCAGCTCGTTCGGGAATCGACTGCTATTACTTTTATCATTCATAACTTTCATAATTCCAGAGATACATCCCATAATACATCACATTTTTAACATTTGAACTTTAACATTGCGCAGCTCGTTAAGTTAGAGTGCGTGATGTCACAGCTAGAGGGTAGGAAATCTTGAAATCTCCCTTCATATTTTTTTTTAAAACTGCCATAATTCCCAAACCCTACATTCCTGAGACATAATTTTTCATGAGAAACGTAGGAAAACATCTCGTAGCTTGAAAAATGACAAATAATTAAGCAAAAAATAATTAAACAAAATGCCTCTTGAGCAGAGTTGGGTGTAATGCGTTACTTTTATAATTCAGTAATCACACTACAGTTACTAACATTGCCCCGACACGCGTTACTTCGTTACTTTTATAAAATCAGTCATAATCACACTGACAGACAAGAGGGGTTTCCGCCGCAGGTTTATATGTACGTAATTTGCGCGACTTGCGCGTCCACATCTCCACGTGCAGTGCTGCATAAACATGGCTGAGTCAGCGATAACTTTCGAGGGGTGGAGGTATGCCCATTATTTTGAGTTTGTCCGAAGAATAGGCAGGAATGTGACGGTGAGGTGCAAACGGTGTCCAGGCCAGAAGCTGTTATCCACTGCTGTAAACACCACGTCAAACCTCAACAAACACCTGCAAAGAACACATGCTAAGGTGAAGCTAATAGCTAAGGACCCCCGAACCCAGAGTGAGGATGTTGTGAGTGCGCCGCCGCCGACTCCGAAGCAGCAAAAATTACCGGTAACCAAAGCAGAGATGGACAGGCTTGTAGCATCCTTCATAGTAGAGAAAATGTTGCCCATTTGCACAGTGGAATCACCATCGCATCGTTCAGAGATATGCTGCGCAAAATACAGATAGCAGGAGACAGAGGACAGCCATAGTCAGAGCTATCTGGATCAGTCTTATGCGACAATGGAAACTGAACTAAAGAGAACATTTCAAACTTTAGCAGTCTGCGTGATCTGCTTGTAGGGAGGGGCGGGCCGGCCCTGCGAGTAAAGTAACGAGTAAAGTAACGAGTAAAGTAACGAGTAAAGTAACAAGTTACTTTATGTAGAGAGCAACGAAGTAGTGTAATATATTACTTTTTTTTTTAAAGTAATATGTATTATGTAATATATTACTTTTTTGTAGTAATGACCCCATCTCTGCTCTTGAGGGCATGAAGTGACAAAAACGTTCACCATGTCTCCATTAAAGCCCATTGTAATTTCCGGCTGATATTTCCTCACAGCAGCAGCCGCACACCTTTAGTTAAACTGCCAAAAAGGCCACATTATTAACCCGAAAGTACACAAAAATTACACTTCAGATACTCAACTTCCTTGACATGCTTCACGTTTTGAAATTTCACAGATATCTGTTATCGTTCTTCCACAAAACGTTCACATGTAAGAGGTTTATCTCTCATTCAGAACAATGCAAACCTTTGATCTCTACAGAGCTTGTTAGCTCAACTATAAACACCTGTGTAATGGAACATGATGATGTCATCACTCCAACTGACAGCAGTCAGTTCTAACTGTTCATTCACATGTAAGAGGTTCATCTCTCATTCAGAACAATGCAAACCTTTGATCTCTACAGAGCTCGTTAGCTCAACTATAAACACCTGTGTAATGGAACACGGTGATGTCATCACTCCAACTGTCAGTCAGTTCTAACTGTTCATTTCATACTCACACTCTCTCTCACAAACTCTCTCTCTCTCTGCCACACACAGAGTCTCTCTCTCTCTCTCTCTCACACACACACACACACACACACACACACAAACACACACACACACACACACACACACACACACACACAATGTGTCGGCCCAAAACTTCACAGGTTTGGTAACGATGCAGCCATCAACGCATCTAAGCGTATTATGGGGTGTCATCCAATGCCGTTGCCATGGCGACAGACCACTCGCCATGAAACACGATGTCGCTGTAAGTCCAATGGACACGGTCCAATCGTCCACCAATCTTCACTTGTATATCACCGGTCCATGCCTCAACAGCTCTACGCCAAATTTGAAATCTCACCATATGCCGTTTCCATGGAAACACATCCTCGCCATAAAACACGATGTCCCTTTAACTCCTATGAGAATGTTCAAAAAGTGCTCAAAATTCACATGTGTGCTAACAGTCCAGCCGTGAAGACATCTACGAGACAGTTTTGAGATTTCTTCAAATGCCGTTGACATGGCAACACAATGCTCGCCATGAAACACGGTTTTCTCATAACTTCAGTGAAAATGCTTGAAACGGCCCAAAACTTCACAGGTTTGGTAACGATGCAGCCATTAGCGCATCTAAGCGTATTATGGGGTGTCATCAAATGCCGTTGCCATGGCGACAGACCACTCGCCATGAAGCACAATGTCGCTTTAAGTCCAATGGAAACGGTCCGATCGTCCCCCAAACTTCGCTTGTATATCACCGGTCCAGCCCTCAACAGCTCTACGTCAATTATGAGGTTTCTTCAAATGCCGTTGACATGGCAACACAATGCTCGCCATGAAACACGGTTTTCTCATAACTTCAGTGAAAATGTTCCAAACGGCCCAAAACTTCACAGGTTTGGTAACGATGCAGCCATCAACGCATCTAAGCGTATTATGGGGTGTCATCAAATGCCGTTGCCATGGCGACAGATCACTAACCATCAAGTTAGTTCAAAAGTTTGCAGTTCAAATATTCTGCTGGTTTTCCAAGCCTTTTTACTTTCTTTTCTTCACTCATCACACATTGAAGCCCCCAGTGTTCATGTATCATTTCAATCTAAATTCTTCACTTTCTTCTTACACATTACATTTCAGCATAGCAGTTTAGCGTCAGCTTTTCAGCATAAAGCATTCCCACTAGCAATTTCTTCAGGAATTGCATTCTCAAGTTAATTATTATTGTTGCAGTGAAATAAACATAAAATCTGCAATGTAACATGCAGTGTTAAAGTGACCTACTTTTATTCCTAATTCATTTAATTGTAGTTTGTTTTTTAAATCATATTGTGATCTTGCTGCCTCAGAAACTCCTACTTTCTGTTTAAAAAAAGTGAGATCACCTTTGATGGTTAAATTCAAAATGAAAAGTGAATAACAAAATGTTTAAACTCACCACGTTGTCATCTGTCTGCGTTTCATTCCCTAAACAGAATTTAAAAGAGAGTTGATTTTAACTTCCACAGTTAAAATCCAGGTTCATCAAAAGCTTCTTGTTCATAAAGTATAATGTGTGAATGTCCTCACCTTGAGTCCTCTTCCGTCTGATGACAGCCACAGTGATTATTGTGAGTGCTGCAACACCCACTATCACAACGATGATCCACCACCACCAACCTGGAAGAGAGAAGTTAGAAGAGTTACATATACTCAGAGGTTTTTATCTCCTTATCTTTAACATCTGGATAAACAACATGTCTTCTGGCTATTTCACATCAGTATAAAGTAACTTAAACAGCTCAACATGTTCTCACCTGAGGACTGAGGGCTGAAAGGAAACTGATGTTCTTCTCCTGTGTACTCATCTCTTACTACACAAGTAAACAACTCAAACCTTGGTGTGTTACTAAAATGAAAAGTCAGAAATGTCACAGAGGCAGAGCAGAAAGACTGTGATGTCTTTATCTTTCTGTGATCTTTAACCACATCTCGACCCTGAAGCAGCCACTTCACTGGGTGTTTACACTGTCCATGTGTCTTCACAGAGCAGTTTAACGTCACCTCATCATTGTCATGATGTTCAGTCACTGAAGATGGAGATATTGTTGGAGAAAGACAACAAGAGTAACATTAACTTCATCACTGTAATCATTATTATTGTAATGTTTCAATGTTACAGTTTGAATACATTATGATGTAAATACTCACTGGTAACAACAGACAGATCAAACACAGTGACTGGACCTTCTTGTTGTCCTGAGCTTAACTGTCTGCAGTTGTATTGACCAGCATCCTCCTCTGTGACCTTCTTTATAAACAGAGAACATTTCTCTGTAACTCTCAGTCTGTCTGATTTAGCTTTGTCTTCTTTACCAATCTGCCCACGATGAACCAGCTCTACTGCTGTTGAGCTACTTGAATCAATGAAGTGCCAGCTAGTACTCTCACATTTATCCTGATCATGTATCACATTGTCACAAGGCAAAGTGACTTCATCTCCTGGTCTGACCGTGAAGGAGGAATATTTCAACTTTGCTGCTGTTGAAAAACACAAACAGAGTTCACTAAACTCACCACGTTACAAACACAACTCATCATTCTCAGTTAAAGGAACAGTACGTAGTAAAGTACCATTAGTGATATTAAAGCTGTTTTATTTAAAGTGTGTTTTCTGCATCCTCACCTGTAAAGTGGAGCAGCAGCATCAGGAATGAAGACATTATGATCCTTCTGAATTCAGACATCGTGCTTCTCTCTCGGTCTCTGGCTCTTGACTGTCACAGTCTCTCACCTGCTGCTTCTTTATTTCCCTTCTGAGAACTGAAGAAGTGTTTCTGTGAGGATGTGGTTAACCACAGGTTGACCTGTGGTTTTACCCTCTGATGCTGAACAGATACGTGCTTAAAGCAAAACCGTGCAGAGAATGTACATATAGCATTATATATTACTATTTTGAATTATTCATTTCCATAAATACTTGCAGTATTGTTTTTTTTACTTCATTTTTTATCAGAAAACAGACTTGCTAATGGTGTTTGAATGCACACACAGTGTTCTGAGACCTGGTGGTTTTTCTCATGAATTGCACCTCTGAGAACCAAGATGGAGGTTTTGTTGAGGCTGTGGTAGCAGCAGCAGCAGAGCCCTGCAGGTCTAAACCACTGATGTTGACCAGATAAAAACAGAGACATGAGTAATGGCAACAGTAACTATTGTCTAAATGAACTCTAATGCAGTATAATTAATGACTTTTTAAAACATGTACCCGCATGTTGTTCTGAAATTCTTAATAAAACTAACAAGTTGTATCTGAGTTATTGTCCTGCTCTGCACACTGCACTTATTAATCTTTGGTCCCTTTGAAAAGACACAAACGTCTCTAGTGAGGCATAACGGTTAAAGTCTTTTAATACACAACTTTCTGAAGACGCAAAATGAATCTGTGCCCTGACGGCTGAAACTGAAGCGGTGCCGATGTGTCAGAGCATAGAGATGTTCTTGTGTCTCTGCTGAAGAATTGTCATGGTTGTAAATATGCACAGTTTGAAGTCAGCAGCAGCAGCAGCAGTGTGTGTGTGTGTGTGTGTGTGTGTGTGTGTGTGTGTGTGTGTGTGTGTGTGTGTGTGTGTGTGTGTGTGTGTGCGCGTGTGTGTGTATCTTGTTTAATCTGTGTGAATCTGTTCTGTCCTGTTTTTCATTCTTAACCTGTTGCTGATAAACTACTGAATTTCCCCACAGGGATTAATAAAGGTCCATCTTATCTCATTTTATCTTATCTTATCTTACTTTATGAACTTACCTGATGTTTTGAGAATGTCATATTAGGAAAACCCATACAAGGAAATACACCTGCACTCTTGAAAGATTAATAGGTCACTTTATTTAGTAAAATACAAAACAATCAAATGTGCAGAAGAAAAAGCAATACTCTTTAAAACAGTAATAAAAAAGCCAGAATCCACTTTACAAAACCTTCAATATGCCCACACTGTAAGTACTAAGAATACAGTAAATCTCCAACATGTCTGCACCTTTTTTTACAATCCACCTCTAGAGGGACTCACATGTTTTGCTGTACTCTCACTTTGATGCAATTGAGCCATAAAAAGCAAAGACCTGGTCAATATAAATCTTATTATAACTCTGCTCGCTTTGCCTTTGTAATATGGTTATAACAATTGTGCCATAGTTTAAAATACAGCATTAAACTGTATTATTTTGTTGGTTTGTTGACGGTGGCGTAGAGGAGGCTGGGATCAGCGGAGGCAGCATAGGAAGAGGAGGGAACTCTCACAGTGCTGTAGGTCACTGCTTCATCTTCATCATCATCATCATCTTCATCATCATGAGCCTGCAGGCAAAGAAAAGGGATTATACAGGAAGTTCAGATGTATATCAGTATGTAGTGTCTCTACTTTAAAGAGTCCTCTCCTGCTGATGTTCAGGTGTATATCAGTATGTAGTGTCTCTACTTTAAAGAGTCCTCTCCTGCTGATGTTCAGGTGTATATCAGTATGTAGTGTCTCTACTTTAAAGAGTCCTCTCCTGCTGATGTTCAGGTGTATATCAGTGTGTAGTGCAGCACCTCTTTTCACCCTCTTTCTGAAACCAGAGCCCGGTCTGCTCTGATTGGTTAGCTGGCCGGCTCTGTTGTGATTGGTCAACTGCTTCGAGATGTCCCGCCCCTTAGCCTATAACGATCAATGTGTTGGAGCCAATAGGAGTTTGGGTGTTACATAGTGATGTCACTTTGTTCCAGAAGTAAACAAAGGAGTCCAATGGAGGCGTTTCAGGCACAAAGGTTAATGTATACATTAAAATGCCTTTACAGACCATTTACATGCACTAAAACTATATAATGCTTAGATATAAATCATATCAATAGTTTCTTCCTTTATTAACATCATCAGTATAACCAACATAAATCTTACCCTGGCTTTCCTGCTGCTCTTCCTGGGGTAGCTGATGGAGGCGTAGGAAACACCATCTTCAGGATCAGCCTACACAAATAAAATGTATTAATATTAGGGCTGTCAGTCGATTAAAATATTTAATCGCGATTAATCGCATGATTGTCCATAGTTAATCGCGATTAATCGCAAATTAATCGCACATTTTTTATCTGTTCTAAATGTACCTTAGAGGGATATCTTTCAAGTTTTTAATACTCTTATCAACATATGAGTGGACAAATATGCTTTATATGTTTGTTTATTATCATTTGAACAATGACAAATATTCTCATGAATATTAAACACAACAACCTCTGAACATTACAAATATTCGCCTCAATTCAACCTGGAACCTCTCTCATACAATAATACTGTGTGTGTGTGTGTGTGTGTGTGTGTGTGTGTGTGTGTGTGTGTGTGTGTGTGTGTGTGTGTGTGGGTGTGTGTGTGTGTGTGTGTGTGTGTGTGTGTGTGTGTGTGTGTGTGTGTGTGTGTGTGGAGACACTGTGATGGATCGTTGAGCTATGTGCAGCTCAAGGCATATATGCTCGAATGGGAGCTGCCTGGACGCTGCAATAATGTTGCGCGTACTATCCGTGCTGAGTGTGCTGACTTTTCGTACAATGTCACACTGTCTGGCTACCTGCATAAAGTCAAGTGCTCGGCGCAGTTGTCGGCGAAATGTCATTGAAACAGCTCCTTATATCCGTTAGCGCAGCTAGCTAGCACCAGATGCTAACAACAACAACACGTAAGGTGTGCCTCGCTCGCGCGAGTCGCGCCACACATACACACTCCCTCCCGGTCCTCCCGATGGCCAGTCCGGGCCTGCCAGTGAGCGTGGAAGTGTGGTCTGCCACAAGCGGGCGGCAGGAGCGGGGCTGTCAGCATCAGCTTGTCGATGGTATTTTACACTCGATGCGCTCTGAAACTACGGCGGCCGAGGACAAAAAATACACATGCGTTAATCGCGTTAAAATAATTAGTGGCGTTAATTTTTTTTTGCGTTAACGCGTTATTAACGCGTTAACTTGACAGCCCTAATTAATATTATTAATTATTATTAAGATCAACTTTGATGGTTAAATTCAAAATGAAAAGTGAATAACAAAATGTTTAAACTCACCACGTTGTCGTCCGTCTGCGTTTCATTCCCTAAACAGAATTTAAAAGAGAGTTGATTTTAACTTCCATAGTTAAAAAAACCCAGGTTCATCAAAAGCTTGTTGTTTGTAAAGTATAATGTGTGAATGTCCTCACCTTGAGTCCTCTTCCGTCTGATGACAGCCACAGTGATTATTGTGAGTGCTGCAACACCCACGATCACAACGATGATCCACCACCACCAACCTGGAAGAGAGAAGTTAGAAGAGTTACATATACTCAGAGGTTTTTATCTCTTCGTCTTTAAACTCTGAATCAACAACATGTATTTTCTGACTGTAAATATAAAGATACTGTAGTTACCATCCTTGTATCATCACCTTAATGAAAAAATAACACAGTGCTGTAGAGTTATGAAGCACATTTTAAGCGTTATCTTCACAGAATGATGCAAAAAATATTAAAACCTGAACTTTACAAACATATATATATATTTTTTGGTCAAATGTTTTTATTCACACACATTTAGTAAAATACAATGTACAATCACAACACAAATTACACAAAAATACAGAAAAAACAAACAACAACAATCAGACAAGAGGACAAAAAAATAAATAAACCCTCCCACCTCCAATCCCAGGACCTCTCAGGACCAATGACTGCAAACAACTATATCAGTTAAGATAGCTAGATCCGCTCCTTCAATTTTTCAGCTGTCGACACCCATAAACCGATATTGGACTCCTTAACTCCAATCACGCGTGCAGTGGACAGTTCCATGTAGACTACGTCAAGAAACGTTATTAACCAGCAGGTCACTGAGAGCTTGTCGGGTTGTTTCCACCTCATAGCAACCAATTTCTTGGCAGCTGTAAGGCCAGCATAGAGAGGTCTTTTCTGGTACCCAGTAGCCGTCAGCTGAGATAAGTCATTTAAAAGAAAAACAGACACAGATACAGGTACAGTCAAAGAAAACATGTCGGACAACTTAGAGGAGACCCCGTTCCAAAAGCGAGCAACAGGCGGGCATTCCCAGACCATATGGAGAAATGTACCAGGAGCCCCCATGGAGCACAGGGTACACCGAGCATCTGCCAGAAGACCCATCATATGCAGCCGTCTGGGTGTCAGGTCAGTTCTATGCGCATAGTCCAGGTGGATTTGTTGGTGGTCGGGATTGCGAGACGCCTGACGAATGTTAACCCAGACTGAATCCCAGTTAAAACTAGAGAATGCAATTCCTGAAGAAATTGCTTGTGGGAATGCTTTATGCTGAAAAGCTGACGCTAAACTGCTATGCTGAAATGTAATGCGTAAGAAGAAAGTGAAGAATTTAGATTGAAATGATACATGAACACTGGGGGCTTGAATGTGTGATGAGTGAAGAAAAGAAAGTAAAAAGGCTTGGAAAAGCAGCAGAATATTTGAACTGCAAACTTTTGAACTAACTTGATGGTGAATGATCTGTCGCCATGGCAACGGCATTTGATGACACCCCATAATACGCTTAGATGCGTTGATGGCTGCATCGTTACCAAACCTGTGAAGTTTTGGGCCGTTTGAAGCATTTTCACTGAAGTTATGAGAAAACCGTGTTTCATGGCGAGCATTGTGTTGCCATGGCAACGGCATTTGAAGAAATCTCAAAACTGTCTCGTAGATGTCTTCACGGCTGGACTGTTAGCACACATGTGAATTTTGAGCACTTTTTGAACATTTTCATAGGAGTTAAAGGGACATCGTGTTTTATGGCGAGGGATGCGTTTCCATGGAAACGGCATATGGTGAGATTTCAGATTTGGCGTAGACCGGTGATGTACAAGTGAAGATTGGGGGACGATTGGACCGTGTCCATTGGATTTACAGCGACATCGTGTTTCATGGCGAGTGGTCTGTCGCCATGGCACCTTTTTCCTCCTCAACAAGGCTAGGACACTGGTGCGTTTATGTGGAGCGTTAAGGCCCCCCGTATTCCGAACCAATATGTTTAATTTAGCCATTTATCAAGGTGAGCAGTGTGTACCTACAAGGAATGCAGAGAAATTGTCGAAAGGGCAAAAAGGTAAAACACAAAAAAACATGCACACAAAAAAAAAAGGAGAGGCCATTACTCCCCCAACCGGCCCTCCCACAAAAAGAACCAAACAGTCTGCAACCAGAATAAGAACCAAGGGCTATACAGAATTGAGCCCAACAACATCCCATGTTAACATCACCCCGACAAATATGCTAGTGGGAAGCTATGAAATCTAATTAGCAGGTCTCACAAATGTAACATGGATAGCAAAATCTGCTAAAGATGTGTAATAACATCTAATAATAGTATCATTTCATTATATCAAAATAATGAAATTAAATCTATACATCCTCAAATATACATATCCATACATGCTCATAAAAACTAATGTAAATGTACAGCCAGGGATCTATGAATCATTAAATGATTAATGTGATAACTCACCAGACCGACAGTAACTTAACTTCAAGAACATATCAAAAATAAATGTAGCAGATATAACTGAGATTACGATCAAGTCTACTTATGCAGTAGCTGCCCTTTAACCGGGCGTAACGTTACCGACAGAGCTAATAGAGATAACTGCATTTAACAAGTAAGTGTGCCAAAGCTACAGTCCCAAAAGAAAAGAGAGGGGAAAAAAGGATCCCTTGTATATAGATTAAGCCAGTGGTTCTCAAACTTTTTCTGTCATTCCCCACTTTGAACAGATGGGCCTTTTCAAGCCCCACCTGTTCCTCATCGCTCCAATAAAATGGTAGGCCAAGCTTAAAATTGTCAAATGTATCGTTCTATAACAGGGGTCTCCAACCTTTTTTAGGATGAGAGCTACTTAAAAAAAATAAAACAAGTCGTGAGCTACTTTTACTCCTCTTTTTTTTGTTTTTTGCTGTGTATATATTTAGCACATTTTAACATTATGATATGCTTACCTTTAACCTTCGTTTGCTATTTGGGTCTGTGGGACCCCTTTTCAGTGTTTACTAAAAGAAAATGTATGCAATTAAATTATTTTAACCAGTTTTATTTGGGGGTGGACCTCACCTCCCCTAGGGGGGTCCGGGGGCATGCACCCCCGGGAAGATGTTTTTTTAAATGTTGAAGTGAAATGCATCAATCTGGTGCACTTTGAGCACAGCATGAATTGATGGATACAGCTCTCAACACTCAGATGAAAGGGAGCTGTATACTTTTTAATGATCCAAACATCTTTAGAATATGATCACAACCAATAACAAATCATTGTCAACTGGTTTATTCTTATCTTATGTTACCTAGTTAGCATTCTTTCTTTTTATTTATGCATATTTTACTAATCACTCCCCTTTTAAACTGTTCTTTTTTTTTTTTTTACTGTCCTACAGTCCACATTGGAATGATTTCTTACTTTATTTTTTACAACTAGGCTATATTAAATAGATAAACACATTGCTTTTCTTCCCGACTGCAACGCTGTTGTGTGTGTGTGTGAGAGATTTTTACACATGTCTGTAAATGATTTTGGTTTCAGATGTGTGTGTGTGAGCAGGCTCGGATTGGCCATCGGGAGATTCGGGACTTTTCCCGGTGGCCCGCTGCCGTTGGTGGGCTGCTGCTGTCGGTGGGCTGCTGCCGTTGGCATAGGCGTGGACTTTCACAGCGCCGCTGCGCTGGTACCGCATCCGCCGCCGCAAACACCCGCCGTTGCGAGGCTCCGGCGCTGTGAAAGTCCACCGCCGTTGCGAGTCTCCGGCTGTAACAGTCCACTACCGCCCGCAAGGACCCAGGTTCGATTCCGGCCTGAGGTCCAAAAAATGTATTTAAAAAAAAAAAAAGTAAAAAAAGTAAAAAAAAAATCTCCCGTTCATTGCGTCCATTCGCGACCCACCTATCACATCTCTGCGCCCCACCAGTGGGGCGCGCCCCACACTTTAAGAAACACTGGATTAAGCCGACCTATTAACGGAGCTAACATAGCTAGCCACACATAGTCAACACATGTATTGCTACAGGCCCAGAATAGCCTGCTTCGTGTGTACAGGTTCATTATAAAACACGTGAAGCCGGGTGTGCTAACGGCGCTAATACAGCTAGCCGCATATAGCTTCCATGGATAGTCACAAAACAGTAGTCAGTTTACAGCCACATGGCTTGGGCGATCTTGATATGCAAACCTGTTACTCATTGCCAACATGATGGTCGCTATGATCCGGTGAAATGGTCATCGGTGCAGCTTGCTCCTCTCCCAGCTCCGCCGGAGCAAAGTCAACAAGGCGACCAGGAGAAGGGCGCTTCTCCAAAACCGCTCCGCATCCACGGGTGAAGCGAAGTGAGTGGAGTAACCCATTTTAATCTTGAGAGTGGCAGGGTAAATCAGGAAAGCATCAGTTCCCTTTTCCCGTGCCAAAGCCATAGCCCGTGAGAATGCTCTTCGGCGTTTAGCTGTATAAACGCTGAAGTCAGCAGCGAAACGGAGAGCTCTGTTGCCGATTGAAGGGGGGTGTGAGCTCGCCTCACGGAGGATAGCTTGGCGTGTGGAGAAGTGTAGACAGCAGAAGATAAAAGCCTGGGGTCGTTCACCAATCTCCCTCCGTAGGGGGACCGCCGCGGAAGATTCTGTGGGCACGCTCTATTTCAGGTTTAAGTTGCTTCAGAGCGGGGAACCAAGTGGGTATCATGCGTTCCAGAAACGAATGTTGCTATTACAGTCCTCAAGATCCGCTATCTTCTGTTCGAAACCCAGCATCTTTTCTTGAACGGTGGAAAGGACGGTAGAATCTTTCTTAGTGCTATTTTTCAAAGCATCCAGCTCTCCTTCAGCCGAAGTAATCCTTGTAGTCACAGTTGCTAGCTCTGAGTGCATAGCATCAATCTTGTTAGCTACTCGATCGAGGCTAGCATCTAGCTCCTCACGTAGCAAGGTCCTCACCACTTCGGTGATGGATTTAATATCTTCATCTTTCAACGTTTTAGTCGATTTACCCTTTGCCTCCGGCATTCTTATAACTTTTCAACAGATAATTCGGCGTGAAATGACTTAAATGTGTAATAATAGTGGTATGTTGTCGGGGAGCTCAAGACTCACGCAGCCATTTCGTTCCCGCGGTCAACCGGAAGTCTACAAACATATTTTATGTAATTATTCATTTCAGGGTGAATGATTTTAAACAGCTCATCATATTTGTCACCTGAGGACTGAAGAGAAAAAGCTGAGGTTCTGTCCTGTAACCATCAAACACTTTACAAGTAAATAAAGTTAACCTTACCTGAGTTTATGTTGTTTTTAGTTGTTGTTGTTGTTGTTGTTTTTGTTGTTGGTGTTGTTGTTCCTGGTTTTGTGTCCTCACCTAAACAAATAAACACAACTCAACAAACTATTTAGTCTGAAACTTCTGTAAAACAAACAAATATTTAAGGCAGAGGTTGCGCTAGACTTTTTCGCTGACCGTAATTTTGACGGATCGTAACATTTTCATCAAAATCCATTATCACCCGTTGGTCCGTGAAGTGTCAACGCTCGTGAACTGTTAGCGCCACGTTATGCATGCCCACTGCACCTCGCGGTAGCGCGCACAGCGTAAAGCAAATACTCACAGACATTTCAACATTTCGGGAGTTTACCCAACATGGCTTTACACGTTCATTTATAAAGCCATGTAAACTCCCGTCTTATATCTGCTCTCTGATAACACAGAGAGTTGTAAGCAGCTATTGTCTGAGATCGCATGATGTAGTCTTGTTACATGTGCCAAGTGCAAGGACTGTCTTAGGTAAGACAGCTTTTATGTGCGCAACTCCTCTTGCTTGGAAGTCACAGCGCCGCTGCGCTGGTACCGCATCCGCCGCCGCAAACACCCGCCGTTGCGAGGCTCCGGCGCTGTGAAAGTCCACCGCCGTTGCGAGTCTCCGGCTGTAACAGTCCACTACCGCCCGCAAGGACCCAGGTTCGATTCCGGCCTGAGGTCCAAAAAATGTATTTAAAAAAAAAAAAAGTAAAAAAAGTAAAAAAAAAATCTCCCGTTCATTGCGTCCATTCGCGACCCACCTATCACATCTCTTCAACAAGAATTGAAACTGAGCAATTTCATTCCTCTGGATGTATTTAAAGCTAGGCTAAGTGAAATGCTCTTTGATACTGTGGGTACTTGTAAATGTCGATAGGTGAGTGATTCTACAATTTAGGGTACATTCCATGTCCATTGATGTCCATTGATGATAATTATAATTATTCTAACTATTTTCTTCAAAAATATCATATTTTGCCTATTCAAATCAAATCAAATCAAGGTTTATTTATAAAGCACATTTAAAAGCGATTTTTGGTCGGGCCAAAGTGCTGTACATGTAATAACTACAATCACATAAAAACACATTTCTATAATCACAATAAAAGAAAATAAATTACAACAGATATTTAAAAAGAAAACACAGGGTTAAAGTCAGGAGTCGTGCTCCGCTCTGACTAAAAGGCCAGGGAGAAGAAGTGTGTCTTAAGTGTAGATTTAAAAACCCCTAGGGTCTGGGCCGACCTCACATGGAGGGGCAGAGTGTTCCAGAGCCTAGGGCCAGCTGCTGCGAAGGCTCGGTGCCCTCGGGTTTTGAGCCTGGTCTTGGGCACTATCAGCAACAGCTGGTCAGCAGACCTTAAAGCTCTTGTTGGGGTGTAGCGCTGGAGGAGTTCAGCTATATAGGCCGGAGCCAGCCCATTTAGTGCTTTAAAAACAAATAAAAGGAGTTTAAAATCAATTCTGAACCGAACTGGAAGCCAGTGCAGTGAGGCCAGAATTGGGGTGATGTGGTCACGTTTTTTGTGGCCAGTGAGTAGACGTGCAGCTGCATTCTGGACTAGCTGCAGGCGTTTAATTGACGCCTGGTCCATACCCACGTACAGAGCGTTGCAGTAGTCCAACCTCGAGGTAACAAAGGCATTAATAACCCTTTCCAGGTCCTCAAACGATATAAACGACTTAGTCTTGGCCAATAGTCGTATTTAAAAAAATACTATTATTGGAAAGCATGTTATAATATCACACAAACATTATGTGCATCCTATGCTTTATTTAGCTTGAAATGTGTCATGATGTTCTTGAATTGTCAGTTTTTGCTATGTCCGTTTTTCAGTTGAGGGTGTCTTGGTTTCAAAATAATGAATAAAAACCATTAAAGTAAAAAAAAAAAGTATTCATTTATTTCAAAAGTCTAAATACTAAAGAATAATAACATATTTTTAATTGATTTCCTCCTTTAAATAATTTAAATATCTTAATATATGAATGTCCGCAAAAGTTCTGTCAACTATGTTACTAACAGAACTCCCCCCTTTAACTCAAAAATGGTTTGTCCCAATACCATGTCACCAGCATCACATGATGCCATGTTCCTCTTTGGCAGACATTTTGAACACACTGTGGTGATTGTCCTCAAATTTTTTACAATATTTTATGTATAATAGCACATTGTCAATGAGTATATTAATTGACCATCAACAATGTTACATACATTGTTATGGTTTACAATTGTTTAATGATTTTAATTCAATTATATGTTCAAATGTGATGTTAACCTGTTCAAGAAAATGACATGTGGTCATCCAGGCAAGGCCTACCATTGAAATGATGGGTCAAAATAGGGAAATTGTCAACTAGGTTACCTGTCAACTAAGTTACCCAGTACTGTAATAACTGTAGTAACTTAGTTGACAGGTAACCTAGTTGACAATTTGTATGACATGTAGACGTCATTACACATCATTATCAATGGAATTTTGCACTTCTGCCTTGAAATGAACATAGTGCTGATGGTTAATAATGTGTCCAGTCAACTATGTTATTTGCGTCAAATGTTTGACTTTCATTGTCAACTATGTTGCACCTCATTTTTTCAAATTTAAAATATCTAAAATAGTGCTTCTGATATCCTTTATAGTATAATGTATATCTACACAGGTTGGAGTTTTACATGACATCTCTTAAAACTATCAAAATGACCTGTATGGTAGTTTTATAATACAAAATATCCCTAAACGTAATGACAGTGCTGAACATATCACATGAAAAAACAAAACTTTAATACAATTATTTTTTAAACTTTAAAAAATCTTTGGATATATGGTAGAATAGACTCAAGAGCCTTTCAAATGTGATTTTACTTGAAGTGCAGGACTTAATCAAATGATTGTAATGACATCAAGTTTGTCTGTAACATAGTTGACAAACTGAGTAGTGAAAACATCCTTTCCCTTAAAATAAAATAAAATAAAAAAATGTTTAAGCTTTGCAACTAGTGGATATGTTACACTGAGGAATATACTAACTTGAACCACTGATTGTTCTATTGAGAAAGAACACTTTCTTTGTACTGTTTTGTTGATGTGAAATGCACCCTAAATTATAGAATCAGTCAGGTATGTAAATGTAGCCCTGTAAATATGATGTATGATGTCCTTTATTGTTTTATGTTGTTTTATGTTTCATGTGGAACCTATTTGCTGCAGGTCTCCCTTGAAAAAGAGATCGATGATCTCAATGGGACCTACCTGGTTAAATAAAAGTTTGAAATGAAAATCTGTTCGGCAAAGTTAAGTTTGGAAACTATGACATTTCCTTTTGGGCGGGCATGCATAACATGGCATAATACCGGAGCCCCACTGCGGGGAAACTTTGGCGCTGTTCTGAGTTTGTTCTAATCTGTCAAAATGACGGACGGCTTTCAGATATTTCCGTCATTGTTAGAAAAATTCCGTCATAGACGGAAAATATTCGGTTAACGCAACCTCTGATTTAAGGTAATTATTCATGTCAGATTGAAGTGACATAAACATCTCATCATGTTCTCACCTGAGGACTGAGAGCTGAGGGGAAACTGATGTTCTTCTTCTGCGTACTTATCTCTTACTGCACATGTAAATAACTCAGACCTTGTTGTGTAACTAAAATGAGAAGTCAGAAATGTCACAGAGGCAGAGCAGGAAGACTGTGATGTCTTTATCTCTCTGTGATCTTTAACCACATCTTGACCCTGAAGCAACCACTTCACTGAGTGTATACAGTTTCCATATGTCGACACAGAGCAGTTTAACGTCACCTCATCATTGTCCTGATGTTCAGTCACTGAAGATGGAGATATATTGAGAAAAAGACAACAAGAGTAACAATAACTTCATCACTGTAATCATAATTATTGTAATGTTTCAGTATATTGTTTTAACCAGACAGTTAGAAAACATTATGATGTAAATACTCACCGGTAACAACAAACAGATCAACATGAGAGCCTGGACCTTGTTGTTCTCCTGATCTGAACTGTCTGCAGGAGTAAATACCAGCATCCTCCGCTGTGACCTTCTTTATAACCAGAGAACATTTCTCTGTAACTCTCAGTCTGTCTGATTTAGCTTTGGCTTCTTCTATAATCTCCCCATGTTCAACCAGCTCTACTGTTGCTGAATCTCTTGAACCACTGAAGATCCAGGTAGTACCGTTACACTTATCCTGATCATGAATCACATTGTCACAAAGCAAAGTGACTTCACCTCCAGCTCTGACATTAAAGAAGGAAGATTTCCAATTTGCTGCTGTTGAAAAACACAGACAGAGTTCACTAAAGTCACCACGTTACAAACACAACTCATCATTCTCAGTTAAAGGAACAGTACGTAGTAAAGTACCGTTAGTGATATTAAAGCTGTTTTATTTAAAGTGTGTTCTCTGCATCCTCACCTGTAAAGTGGAGCAGCAGCATCAGGAATGAAGACATCATGATCCTTCTGAATTCAGACATCGTGCTTCTCTCTCGGTCTCTGGCTCTAGACTGTCAGAGTCTCTAACCTGCTGCTTCTTTATTTCTCTTCTGAGAACTGAAGGAGAAGTGTTTCTTTGAGAATGTTGTCAACCAGGTCAACCTGTGGTTTTACCCTCTGATGCTGAGCAGATAAGGTACGTGCTTTAAGCCAAACCGTGCAGAGAATGTACATATAGCATTATATATGATGTAGTTGTTGGTGTATTATTACTATTATGAATTATTCCTTTTCATAAATACTTGTAGTATTGTTTTTTTTATATCATTTTAATCAGAAAACAGACTTGCTAGTGGTGTTTGAATGCACACACAGTGGTCTGAGACCTGGTGGTTTTTCTCATGAATTGCACCTCTGAGAACCAAGATGGAGGTTTTGTTGAGGCTGTGGTAGCAGCAGCAGCAGAGCTCTGCAGGTCTAAACCACTGATGTTGGCCAGATACAAAACAGAGACTTGAGTAATGGCAACAGTAACTATTGTCTAAATC